GCAAGGATATGTCGTGTAGACGCTTTCATCGGGGTCAATGAACGCTCCTGAGTGAAGATATGTGAACGCTGGGTGAGGAAGAGATAAAGAGCGATTGAAATAAGAAGCCAAACCAAATGGTTGCCAGTGTGCTAAATGGAAAAGTCTAAAAGACACAGAACTGCAGAGAGGAAAGAAGTAGAAAAATGTAGGCGCAGAGGATCATGGATAAGAAAGGTCAGATAGCTGACCGGACATCAGTCCACTTTTAGACAGCGACGTGTCACACTTCCGGGCACCGCTTGCGATGTGGTCATTTGCTTGTTATACGCCTGAAACAGAAAACGAAATACACAGGTATGTTACAGTTCCAAAACATCTGCAAAATCTAGGGATGAATTCTATTTGACGAAGAAGATTAAGGCATACAAAGCCATCTGACGACGGAGTCCGAACATAAAGTCCGAATGTGCGAGTTGCAAAGAAGGCCATTAGGTTAACGCAAAAATTTCAACTTCTCTCATTCTTTCGCAAATTTCTCCCGAAATGTTCTGGCAGAACACACACACGACCTGCGTCTTATGATTCGCCCGCAGGTGCTCATTCGTTTGAACAGCTGCAGGGTCATCGATTATGTCACAATTGTGGTAATTCGATCGGCGTTTTTATCACTTATCGATTTATCGTTTACTCTGCGGTTCGATCACTTACCCTGTTTCGGGCAGTTTACACAACGGACGTTGAGTGTTTCGTTACCACAGTAACGGGATAAACGTATACCAATCTTGTAAGTATACAGCTGATTATTGTGCAACGTAATTCGCCAGTAAGTAGAGCGGAACACAACAGAATGTGTGCCAGATCCGTGCTGTTCCACAAAACTCAACAGGAACACATCAATTGCCCAATCGGAAGAACGAAGTGTGTCATCTGCCACATCTAATATGTCCGCATGCTTCTGAACAAGTGAAATTGCGAGTCCAACGATGTGTCGTGAATTCCATGTTTTAGAAGGATAATCGAATTTGGAACTCTCACAAAAATCATCCCAATAGGTGTTTAAACCGAAAACTGATGAGAAGCTTGGCGTTCGTCAGCTGATAGACCATCATCATGTGTGAACGTCAACAACCTAAAAGCTCTACTTTTCCACGGAAAAACTACTGCTTAGCCTTTTCAAACCCCCCCCCCCCCCCCCCGGGGGGGGGGTGNGTATACTAAGTGTGTTCAAATCCACCTGGTTGGATAGGATGTGTATTAAGGCAGTGCGAGCGACACTGGGTAATTGTAGCAAAATTCAGCCATTAAACTATCCGTATAGTCTCTAAGGGGGATTCTTACTGTCAGTAAGGATCGTGGATATCCATAAGAAAATTGGGTCTCCTGACAGAAATTAATGTGCAAAATGGACGTAGGTTGAGTCTTCTTAGTGGTACGATTTGTTCGTTTGCAAAAGAAACATCAGGAATCTCGGGTAGAAGGCGACATACAAGGTATTTTCCACCTGTCACGTTGTCCTGGATCGAACTGTTCCCAGACTTAAACCTGAGTGATCACACGAATTGTGACTCTGGTGGCCAGCCTAATAATACCGTAGGTGACTCGGGTTCGAATCCCACACGGATGTCTTCAAATTGACTGTAGTGGAAAATGTTGGTAGCTCATATAGTGTAGATGGTGATCGTTGGTTTGTTCGCTGAGCTAGGCAATAACGAATTGATGATGTCACCTCGATCGGTGACGAAACGTTCGCAATCAAATTTCCCAGCTCAGCGAACAAGCCGACGACCACCCTCGAATTGACTGTCTCTGTCCTAGTGATTTGTTCACATACGTTAAGACTTCAAGTAACCCCTGATAACTTGCCAAACGCTATTCACTTAAGCACTGTCAAAGTATATGCAAAACTGAATTATCACAGAATTACATAAATTGGCAATCAGATGTGATGAAGGCAGGATAAAGTTGGAAAACTGGACACTTCAGTCGACATTATAATAACTAATTTGATTATTGGCGGTGAAAGGTTTCAGTGAAATCTATTGCGAGCGATTTCCATGAACTTCGCATTACAGTAGAAAGACAACACACGAGCTGTTTCATAAAAAATGCCCCCCAGTGGATTGCAAAATCATGAAGTATGATGCACGTCACACATAGCAGTTTAAATCTGAGGAGAGCAGTGGGAATCAAATGGATGTAGTTCTAACCAACGGGTCATTAAACAGCCACGAAACTCAAGATTAAAAATGCTTCAGGAGAAGGAATACCTACCAATATTAACGAACGCGGGTGAGGGACTCGGGGACGAATCAAACCCGCTGTTTAATCGCATCTAACGAACAACAAGCGGAATCAATCTGTTCATTTCAATTCGGATGCGCTATAAACCGTATACCATAGGGATATTGGTTCCAGCTGCTACCGTTTCGATCACCAAAATGTGGGAGTGTGGGACATATAACCAATCCTTGGAGGAGATGGCACATCTAGATAGTTCGGGAACTGGGTAGCAACGCATTGAAGGCGATAGCTTTGATGCCCGAAGGCTATGGACTGTGCGGTTGGGTCACTTCTGCCAGTATCATTAACCATTGGTGAGTTGAGTCCTATCCAGGGAGGGCACAGATTTTCAACCCGATGACCAGTCACAAGCCATTATTGCTCTGAAACAGCGAGCTTTCCACCACCCTCACTTGGGAATCATCAAATTCAGCAACGTGCAACCTTTTTAAACCTCTTTTTTTGCTACTTCACACCCGATTCGAACATGATAGTGAGGTTTTTACTGCCCCATATTCAACATAATTCATCTGCTTAGTCTCTCATCTTTATACGTCGGAGTCTTCGCGACAAGATCATTTTGGTAGAAAAAATCGTTCAGCTGTAACAGCCTTTCGGTGCCTAGCTGCCATGCTACCAGAAGGAAGCAAGAGGGCTGACATACTGCCAGGTTGCCCAAACCTAGACAGGGGGAGTCGAGAGGCAGAGGTCGGGTTCAAACCACGGACCTTTCGGTCAGTAAATTCGCGCTTTAATCACTTGAGCCAGCTCGCCCCCCATTTTGGTAGACTCATTCCGTTCGCCATGCAAACAAGTCACCTTTGTCCAGTTTCTTTTGCTTCATAAAATAAAGGGATGACGAAGGAAAACGGCAGTACAAATATTTTTACAGCTGTTTGAAAGCAATTTATGGGACACTGTCCACGTCAACTGAAACACTCCAAGGAACTGATGCGGATCGAAGCTGCGAAAATAGTGGAGTTCTGGAGAAAGCACTTAAAAAACGTTTGAACAGATCCATATGCATCAGTTGAAGATAGACAGTCACATTAGGAAACGAAACATTCGTCAGGATTTCCTTCCAGGATGAGCAACGATAAAAGCGTGCAATAAAAAAGGCAGCTGAGGATGTCTGCAGCACAACCCTGCTTACTTAAACTTAACGAACATACTTTTCCGGTTATCACATCTTGTGGCAAAAAGGGGAAGTACCATTGAAAGTTAGATGCACGCCAGTTGCGCCTGAATGCAAGAGGAGCGAGGCTCTACCTAAAAACCGCAGTCATCTCCCTGGCAGAGCTTGCTGGCAACAGAAGCCAAGTCACCATTGTTTGGTCATAAACCTGAAATGTAGCGTCCATGTTGGAAAATTTCGACTGCTGCTGCAGTTTTACATGTGCAGAAGTCAGGTACCCATTTGCGATAGACGGCGTCCCTAACCTCCCTGCGGGCATTACGGTTAGAACGGATTTCGTAGAAATCTAAACACTTCCGCTACCTCGCCAGATGACTGTATGTTGAGTTGCTTGTTGACCGTGTACAGGTTTTGATTAAACTCGAGGGGCGAGATGGCCCGGTATATAGAACGCAATTTTACTAAACGGAACGTGGGTGGTTCGAACCCGACCTCTGCCTCTCGACTTCCCTTGTCTAGACTTGGACAACCTGGCAATATCCCAGCACTCGGGCTTAGGGTGGCATCGAGGGGCGAGATGGCCCGGTATATAGAACGCAATTTTACTAAACGGAAGGTCCGTGGTTCGAACCCGACCTCTGCCTCTCGACTTCCCTTGTCTAGACTTGGACAACCTGGCAATATCCCAGCACTCGGGCTTCCTTAGGGTGGCATGGCAGCTAGGCACCGAAAAGGTGTTACAGCTCAACACTTCATTTTGAACTCGGGAACTTCCTATAAAAAGGATCTTGCGGGACGAGACCAAAGTGTCTGATTACGAAGTAATGCTCCCCTGTATGTCATAAAAACAGACCATATAAATGAGGCTTTCACAGGCGGCGTTCAAGGTCGGCTGGAATACAGAACTGTCAAACACAGTTCTTCAGTGGGTGTACTGTGACGGAAGGGAGGCGATGGGCCTATACAACCGCCTACGGAGTTTGAAGGTTTGTCGATCGGAAAAGACAATGCCGAGCGAACAGTTTTGCGTGCAACTGGATACCAATCAACACAACCCTGGTGGACAGGAGCGACGATGCCTGGGCACCGTAGATGAAAATCGAAGAGCTACACACGAAGGTCGCCCGGGAGCTGTTGGATCTGGCAGTAGAACTACGTGGATCTGAATAGACTGTGGGCACGGTTGTGCGGATCTTTGTGGACCCAGAGGTTGTTAACAAACTACTGCAACCTGTCGTTCTCACCTCTCAACACTGGATATATCAGGAAGGATAGACACGTATGCAACGGTTTCGGAAACCACGACAGTTTAGACGAAAAGCGGGACCACTTGGTTCAGTTAAGTTCCCATGGGCCTGTGAACATGCTTTAAAACACAGCGAGTTAGGTCCTTGGGGCGATGCAAACCACAACTAACTGCAGAACGCTATACGGGCTTGGTACGAGATCGACTTACTAGTAATGCAGTCCACCAGTCCATATGAGACAGACGGCAGTGCGTTCAACTGCGTACTTGTTCCCATTTGGGCCAGAAAATCAGCCGCATTACTAGACTGGGAGTTCCTCGATGACAGATACGAAGCGGTCCTAGGAGTGCCCTCCTGCAACTACAGGTCAAACTGACTATTTAGTAACACCGTCCAACAGTACGTGGGCCCAGGGTGTCATGCGGGCCAACATCAACTGTCTAGTTATCCTCTGATTGAGTACTCAGTTTGGCATGCCAACAACTTTAGATTCGCCCCATTCTACTCATTACCTGACTTCCTTTGATTCGCTTGACACCGAATAACAAGGTGTGTTATCTGATATGCGTTTGCGTGAAGGTTCGTCATTAGCAAACAGGAACCACGTGAATCCAACTGGCTAGTAGGCACAGAAGGGATCACCTGATCTCCGGTGATAAGTCTATTTGCCCAAGGTCGACCAAGTTGAAACGACCGAAAATTGCCGGACAGAACGCACAATAAATATACAACCCAGCGGTAAACGAGGCGTTCGTCAGGAACCATTTACCACTGGACCAAGTATTAAGCAGGAGAATACAGAATTATTGTACCTAACCCCAAATTCGACCCTTGTTAATCTAAACCAATGGAGATGAAGGGAACACGAAAAGCGTGTATGAAACGCAAGGTGCTGTTCGTCAGCTTGAGACGAACTTACCCGTGAATAGAAGTTGGCAAACAAGACCAGAAAGATGAGCGCGTAGGACAAAATCCAATAGTTGAACAGTTTTGGATAATTGCAATCGTGCAATGTCAACGTGTAGACTGAATGGAAAATGACCACCACAAATTGGATAATCTGAGCAGTAGTCATATACCTAGACGGGCAGAGAACAGAACAAGAAACACACTGACGCAAGATCTTCCAACACGAAGAGCAAAAAATATAGAGATGCAGTGGTGGTGCGAAAAAAGGTGGCACTGGAACATAAAAATCGGTTGACATCACAAAATGTACGGGCCTCTTCCGGTCCCTTACAAAGGCCATAACGGAAGCAACGGCTGGAGTCACAGATTGCCAAAACATGCACCCCATTGCAAGAATTTGATTATTGAAAGGAAGATGAGTTCCTCATGGGAAAGCGCCTACAGGGGGTTTAAGGACGTTCGCCCTGGAAGTATTTCCCAATGCAAATGACTATCAACGCGAAGTCTCTTCGATATCATTCAAAGTTGACTAACGAGAAGACAGTCATATGCGAATACTTTCAACAGACTCCATCATATGTGATATCTTCCTTCATTTCAACAAGGATCCAATATCTGACCAGCAGATTAACTCCCTTCTCGAAAAACCCCTATCCAGTGCCTCGGATTAGTGACAGTTGATCAAATTATCAGTCGTTGGTCGTCCTTGGTAATTAATTTGCGAACGTTTTGACACCGTTCGA